GATACCTGAATATTGACTGCTAAGGTAATGCAGAAGCACCATTTACAGGGAAGAAGTCCATGAAAATCTCTAATGGGCAGTTCATAAAGACATGTGAGACGGGAAGAGATAGGTGGTAAAGGTTTGTGTGGTGTTCATACCTGAGTCTTTTCCTCTTTGCAATCTCTGATTTTAGGTGTCTTGAACAGAGAGCTAGATACACAAAAACTTAGCTGGAGACTATGATAATAATCTGGGGAGGAGGGAGCAAGTTATCGAATTATGATGATAGTATGGTGAGCAACATCAACACTCATGAAATTTTAGGAAAACTTAAGCAGGTCTTGTCCATTAGCCCACTTTAGTCTGCGTCTCCTCCCTGCTGTCTCTCATCAAATCAACATGTGTCGGTGCGTGGTGTTGTGTTTTATCTAACAATTTGCAGTTGTCACAACCCAGTACAGATCTTTGGGTTGTGAACATACAGCCAATATTATGGCATAGCATGTTAAGCTACCTCGTGAGATGCCTGCATCACATGTGAGTGTGGTTAGAGTCCCTGTTGCTCCACTTCTGATCCAGCTGCCTGCTAATGGCCTGGGAAAAGCAGCAGAAAAGGAATAAATATTTAACCCCTGTCACCCATATCGAGGATCCGAATGAAGCTCCTGGCTTCAGCCTGACCCACCGCTGGCCATTGCAGTTTTCTGGAGAGTGAACCAGAGGATAGAAGGTTTCTCTCTCCATCTTTTCCTCTCCTTTCTTCTCTGTAGCTCTGTCTTTCAAGAAAAATGAATGAATCATAAAAAACTATAAAAAACATGATATTGGTAATTAATCATATAGCACTCTGATTTTTAAATAAAATATAAAATTATTACGGCTTTCAATGTTAGTTTTACTCCAAGTTCTATTTTATCATAATCACATTGAAACATTCGGAATATTTGAAGGCATTAATGCAAACCCTGCATGCCTTTCACACACACTCAAAATTGTTGGCAGCTTTTCATGTGTCCAAAATTAGTAGGCATATATGTCTTCATACATATGAGCAAAATTTTGTAGAACTTCTTGATAGTATGTGGTAAACATGCCTAAATAGCCCTGCACACCTGAGAAAGCATCTCCTGTGGTTAAATTTACTCTACCTACCACATACTTCAGTTTTATTATTGAATCAAACTGAGTTAATAATTGAGAATTAATAATAATGTGTTACTGGCCGGCATTGCAGTTCAATAGGCTAATCCTCCACCTGTGGCACTGGCACGCTGGGTTCTAATCCTGGTCGGGGCGCCAGATTCTGTCCCGGTTGCCCCTCTTCCAGGCCAGCTCTCTGCTGTGGCCCAGGAGTGCAGTGGAGGATGGCCCAAGTTCTTGGGCCCTGCACCCACATGGGAGACCAGGAGAAGCACCTGGCTCCTGGCTTCAGACCAGCGCAGCGAGCCAGCCACAGCATGCCAGCCGCGGCGGCCATTGGAGGGTGAACCAATGGCAAAGGAAGACCTTTCTCTCTGTCTCTCTCTCTCTCACTGTCCACTCTGCCTGTCAAAAAAATAATGAATTAATAATTAACAGATTATCATTATTTCAGACGACTTGAAAGTTCATTTATAGGAACATTTTCTCGGGGAAAGGAAATAGATGCATGAGTGTTACCACAACAGGGTAAAATTTATTTAGTGGTGAATTAAGATACTTCACCACTAACAATGGACTAATAATAATAATGAATTTAGATACTTCACCACTAACAATGGACTAGTAATGCAATAGTGGAAAATAACTAAGGTATCTTCATACTGTCTTCCATTGCGGCTGAACCACCAGCAGTGGTTTACATTACCACCAGTAGTAGTGGATAAGTCTCCTTTCCTTTTCATTGGTATTAACAACTAAAACACTGCATTTACCTTGAAAAGGTTTGGTTGTAGAAGAGGCACTAGAAACAATTAGCTATGATTTTCTGAAATATAATGATCTTGATGCAGAAGACGAAGTCTTAAAAGTAGATTTAAATCCAAAGAATGAACATTTAGTCAGAAATTTCACAATGAGAGAGAATTTACAGCCAGCATAACATCTTTACTCTTCTACTGTGCTCCTAGGTTCTAGAATCTAAGCAAACAAATAAAGGGAGAGTAACAGGATTATCTATTCCTGCTACCTATGAGATTTTTAATTCATGATACAAGCAAATATGATAATGTATTAAAGATTAGTATAATATAAATATATACATTATTCAAAATTGATAGGCTATAATTGCTAATGTTTTATTAGTATAGAGGAAAATGCAGAATGCAGCAGAGACATAATGCAGATAGACAACCAAGCAACAAATAAGTCCTACTATTTTTAAATATTTTAGTAACTATTCATTGTTATCACTTTATGTTTTCAGTAGTTATGAAATACAGAGCTACACAAATTATGCAAGAAATCTTTGGACATTGAACTCTAGTTTATCAGTAAAATTCTCTCAATTTCCTAATCTGTTATATTATGCTGTGTCATGGGTTAATAATTAAATGATTAATAAAAATCATATCAAATGGCTTGAAGTAACCTAAATGCTGTTTTAGTAGTGAATACTATAATGACATGTCATTGTTCAGATCTGACAAAACACATTTCTACGTTCTTTGAGTATTTCATATAACATAGCACTTTGCATTATGGAAAGATGCAGCTAAGTGAGAGGAATATGTTTGAATGTCTAATTCTACATGTTTGTGTGTAGTTGGCAATGGCTGGGAAGAGTTGTCAGCCTGGAAGACAGTAGGAAAAGCTTTTTCAGCCATTGTTTCCCCAGTGTTCCCAGCAACAGGAGATTCACTGCATAGACCCAGGAGGCAAAGCAATACCCAAGGAAGACCAACAGTACAGGCAATCCCTTCAAGCAATGCTGGCTAAGATCTTAGGCTATTATGTCTCCTTGGAGGATGTTAAATCACAGGAATTGGGATACTGAGGGGTTTGGCTCAGGAAGAGGGCTGAGGAGTCAACTATGAGGGAGACAGAGGAAAAAGAATTTGAGCCCATCTTCTCTTAGGAATATAAGCAAGGTCTTCTTTTTTCAAGATTTATTTTATTTACTGGAAAGAGAGGGAGACAGGGAGAGACTGAGACAGACAGACACACACACATGCACACATCACACACATACACACACGGATATCTTCCATCTGTTGGTTCACTCTCTAAATGACCATGACTTTTGGGGCTGGGCCAGGCCAAAGTCAGGAGCCAGGAATTCTTCATTGCCTCCCATGTGGGTTCAGGGGCCCAAGCACTCAGGCCATTCTACACTACTTTGCCAGATGTATTAGCAGGGAGCTGGATTGAAAGTAGAGCTTCTGGGATTCAACCAGCATTTCCATATAGGATCTGGCATAGTAGGCTGCAGCTTAACCTACTATGCCACAACTCCATCCCTCAACAGATTATTTATAACAATATCTGCAGATAAAAGGCCACTTTCAAAAAACTTTTGTTGAGAGACAGAATTGAGGCTCAGATGTTCACTTTTATGTGTTTCCAGAGCTCCAAGGGTCACCTTAATGCTGACTGCAAGTTGTGTGGGACCCACAGATCCTGTCCAAGGGAATGGCTATATACTGGAGAGTGACTTTGGCTTTATAACAGGAAATAAGCTGCTTTGAGTTACTGTGTGTAGTTTAGGCTCACAACAAAGGACATACTTGGGAGTTCCTATCAGATATGCCCAGGTAGGGGCAGGGAGATCCAGCCAGAGTTCATGGGTGGAGCAAGTGTTCAGAGGGGTAGCTGATACAGGAGTCATGGAGTAACTCCAGCTACTATCAGTGGAGGCAGGGGATGTTGGAGCTGACTGGTGTGTTCTGAGTCCCTTCACCCACCCAGATGTAAGCACTAACTCACACTGTATTGTGCTCTTCCAGTCTTCTGTGAGATTCATCCCCAATGTGTAGTGAGCTCTGAGCATCTACAGTCAGGCTGGATGGGTGCACAGGAACAAAGCCACAATCTGCAGTTTTTCAAGTGACTGGGGAAGGAGGGGAGGCCATGGGGAAGAGTATGATCCCCAATTCTAATTATTTGCGATTCCTAGGAGCTGTGTTTCCAAGCTGCTCTGCTCCCCTCCTGTCACAGTGGCAAGCCACGTATGGTCCTGGGCTTTATGATTGCTGGTGCCCTGTTGGGACCTTAGAGCTCAGTTTGCCCTGCGAGAATGCAGGCATGTGTTTGTGGGCTGGACTTAAAACCAGTGAGAACTGTGGAATTTTCCCACTTCAGGGCTGCTGGTCTGTATTGCTGGCAGGAGGTGAAACACCTCTTTGCCCTTTTTCCATTTAATACTGGCATTCGCAGACAAAAGGAGATGAGGTAAGGCCTGTATCTGCTTGTGCCAGTGGCCAGGACGGTGTTTAGTCTTCTCTCTGTGCTGGATTGAGGAGTCTCTGTGCTTGTTCTGTCAGTGCAATACTGGCTTCCTTAGCTCTTGTTGTGTGGGTTTGTGGGTGAATAGCTATTCAAATCATGTCTCTAGGAGACAATCACTGGAGCTTCTTACTCAGCAACCATTTTGCTGTGAACTCCTCAGCTTTAACTTGTGGTCTTTCATTGACAGCCTATGTTGGAAAAATTGCTTAGTAATCGTTTAGTTCTCTGTATGTGAGGTGTGTGTGTGTGTGTGTGCGTGTGTGTAGTATAAGAAAGCTAATTGCTTCAAAGGATACGTGATTAGAAGGGATTTCATCAAGACAAAAATACAACAAATGAAACAGTAGGTGCCTGGATGTTTGTAGTCTGAAGTCAATAGTCATTTGATCAATGTTTTGCAATACTTTACAACATGTAAGGTATTAAGAAGGAAAACTTTACTAAATGTAATGGTTTATTTGTCAGTGATAAAATGTTTAGTTTCATATAAATTAGTGACCTAGTTCCAAGTCTCTATTTAAATGTGGAGTACTGCTTTAACTTCACTCCTCCCATATGTCATAGACATTTATGTAGGCAGTGGGGTGTTGATTTCCTGTTATTCCTCTGAAGGCAGAAGTAATAAGCAGAGTGTGCTTGGCCAGAAGAGTGAAAGGCCATGGATCCCAAGCATCAGTGTATGGCATTAAATGATGGTCACTTCATTCCTGTACTTGGACTTGGCACCTATGCACCTGAAGAGGTAATTCTAGCTGTTTTCTGTGGTTGAGGGGACAAAAGAGAGTTGACTAGGAAGGATGAAGCATGAGATGAATGTGAAGTCAGCCCGCTGCTGTGTGACTGCAGGACTCACTTGATTCTCCATTTCCCCAAGCTAGAGCTATTTCATGCAGAAAATTGAACTTTGTCACAGTTTATTCTGTGTGACAGTCAGGTCCTGTAGTGCTCTGCTGATGAACAAGGATGTTCATGTTGCTTCTTGTTTCCATTTACTTCTTGCTTTGGTTAAGGGGAATAACTCAGTACTCAGCAAGACTGGTCATTAGTTCATTCTCCTGGTATTTCTTTGCGGTTGGTGTGGTTTCTCTCTTTTTTTTTTTTTTGTCTTAAATTCAAAAAATGTGTCCTCCTTCTAAAATGGAATGATGCAGGGAACTTTTTGTCACTATAGAGAAAGAAAATGCATAGGACATGAAAAGAGTTCATGCTCTTCTGCTGTGGGTTAAACTTTAGCACTACAGCATAAGCACTCACCTTAATAAAGTAGATTATACTACTCTTACCTCTGACAAACCTGCCTGGAGGAATTAAAGTATTATGTTAGGGGAAAATGTGCATCTAATGAGATGAGAACAAGGCTAAATTATTCATGTTGTTAACAAATGTTGGACTTAAAGGAAAATAGTGTATGGGCCTATGAAATAAAAGTGAGCATGGAAGGGTGTGAGTGAGGAAGGGTACATCCTTACATTCCTACAATTATCTATGAACTTATTCAATCTGTTCTCTTTGTATTAATATTACATTAACATGAAAAAATTATAAGAAAAATGTGAACACTATTGAGGGAATTTGGCACACTATCATTTTGTGATTACACAGTTGTATGGCATTTGAATGTTTACTACAAACTTGAACTTCTACTTTATTGTTTTGCAAGATTGAAGTAAATACCTGAAGTCTATTTGGAAGACATGTGCCAAGACAAACTTACTTTTCATTTTCTAGAATTTGTTTATTTATTTTGAAAGACACAGAGAGAGAAAAAGAGACTGACTTTCCATTCTCTGGTTCACTCTCTAATTTGCCCCAATGGTCATCCAGGTTTCCCACATCAGTGGCAGGGGCTTGAACCCTTAGGCCATCTTCTGCTTTTCCTAAATCAATAGCAGGGATTAAAATGGCAAGTGGTGCCCATATGGGATGCTGGCACCACAAGTAACAGCTTTATCCATATGCCGCAGTGTCATCCTCATACTTCTTTTTTTTAAAAGGATTTTATTTATTTATTTGACAGGCAGAGTTACAGACAGTGAGAAAGAGAGACAGAGAGAAAGGTCTTCCTTCCATTGATTCACTCTCCAAATGGCTGCAAAGGCCGGGGCTGCGCCGATCAGAAGCCAGGAGCCAGGAGCTTCTTCCGGGTCTCTTCCAGGTTCAGGGGCCCAAAGAGTTGGGCCATCCTCCACTGCTATCCCAGGCCAAAGCAGAGAGCTGGACTGGAAGAGGAGCAACTGGGACTAGAACCGGCACCCATATGGATGCCGGAGCCATAGGTGGAGGATTAACCTAGTGCCACCGGCGCCAGTCCATTTCATACTTATTTTCCAAAGTGAGGTGATGTGAAGGAGGGGAAAGGATTGAGGACACCAGACAAAGTCTTGGCCATGGTAAATTAGTGAACTCACACTTATGAGAAGTTAGAGGGCTGGTATCAGGAGAGGGTGGTAAGATCTACTAACAGCTTCATTACTATTTCATTGAATAAAGGCAGCCTCTCAAATTCTTCTAATAAATGGAAAAGAGTTTGTTTTGTTTATATGTTTATCCTTTACCAAATATTTTCAAATCACTATACAATTTGTAAAAACCATTAATTTTAAATTTAACCATTTTATATCTTATCAAAAATAAAAAGGCTGTTTTAAGAGGTGAAATGATGTTAATAATCACTAATTTCTCATGGGAAAATACATACACATTTAGTATATGTCTATTGATTACTAGTATTTTTAGTTAGTTTGTTTGATGGGTGAAGCAGACAGAATGTGTCTGTAGAACATAATTAACATTATATCCTGTTGTCCATTGAAATGTCAGTTTTTAAACTTGTTCCAAATTGGCAATAAGCAACCTACATTGTTGCAACCAGTTCCCAACTTATTTGGATGGTGGCTGTAGCTACACTGCCTGTGCAGACAGTAGTAGACTGTATACATTTCTGCTTTTATTTGAAAGACTGGAATATGTGTGTGGTTTAGCAGAGAGGATCTATGTGAACAAATTTCAATGAAAAATCTTAAGCATGGAAACCCTAAATAAGCTGCTTTCTTTACAGATACATTTTCAAAGGTCATCAAATTCAGTTCTGACACAATTGAATGTATTATGTTTATTTCATTGGCAGAGGACTCATAGAAGCTTACACTGTAGTTCTTCCATTTTTCCTTCCATTCATTTTTCCCTTGTTAATTTTCCTTAGTGAACTCTCTATACAAATGACATTCTTGATATAAACTTTTTGCTGTGTCATTTGAATCATTCCATCCACTCAATAAAACAGGCATAGTTCCTGAGGACCTTTGACACCAGAGATTGATGTGGTCGCTTGGTTCCTAACTCTTGTTATTAATTAGAAAGGTCCAGGCAAATAAGAATGGCTTTGTTCTTCTTCTTCTTCTTCCTTTTTTTTTTTTTTTTTAAGATGTATTTAGTTATTTGAAAGACAGAGTTATGGGGAGGCAGAGAAATTGAGAGAAAGGTCTTTCATCTGCTGGTTCACTCCTCAACTGGCCTCAATGACTGGAGCTATACAGATTCAAATCAAGGAGCCAGAGGCATTTTTGGGTCTTCCTCACGGGTACAGGGACCCAAGGACTTGTGCCGTCTTCTACTGCTTTCCCAGGCCATAGCAGAGAGCTGGATCAGAAGTGGAGCAGCATGGACTCAAACCAGCACCTCTATGGGATGCCGGCACTTCAAGTGGCAGCTTTACCTGCTATGCCACAGCACCGGCCCAGCTTCATCCCTCAAAATGAAGAATTATCCCAAGACATGATGAAAATGATTTTTGTGAGTCATTGGTCATGCCTGAGCTACTTCAAATCACTTGAATCTTCAAATAATACGTTTGTCTGCTTATTTAGGTTCCTAAGAGTAAGGCTGGGGAAGCCACCAAAATAGCTATAGATGTTGGTTACCGCCACATTGATGCTGCTTATTTGTACCAAAATGAAGAGGAAGTAGGCCTGGGCATCCGAAGCAAAATTGCAGATGGCACTGTGAAGAGAGAAGACATATTCTATACTTCAAAGGTATAGTATATTGAATGTGAAGTTGGGTAACTAATGAAATGTGATGTATGGGTATAGTAATCACATAATTTGATCAGTAATCATTAATTACTTTTACTGTCACACTTATTGATGCATTTTCTTTTATATTTTTTATTTTAAGATTTAACAATTTTTGATATTTGCTATATTCACTTCAAATGTAGATATATAAATATTAATATATGCTACTTTTTAGAAAACAGGGATATCACATAGTGTAGGATCCATGAAATGATCAGAGTGAGGAAATAAGGATATATTGTTATGTAGATGGTATAATGCAGTAAATACAATATTTTAAAAGAATCTTTATAATCTCTATACCAAAAAATATGAGATCCACACAACATTTATGCTTTCTATTTAATAACTTCTAGATATAACAGAAAGTGTGATATTTGTGTTTCAGAATCTGACTTATTTCACTTAGCACAATGATCTACAGTTCTATCAATTTTGTCAGAATTTCATTTTTTTGCTGAATAATATTTCATTGTTTACAAATATCACATTTTCTTTCACTAGTCTTTAGCTAATGGGCGTGCAAGTTGACTCAGTTTTGCTAATGTGAATTGGGTGCTATAAACATGGGAGTGCAGATATCTCTTTCATATACTGATTTTGTTTCCCTTTGATATATTCCCAGAAGTGAAATAGCTGAGTCATATGGCTAAACCATTTGTAGTTTGTTGAGGAATCTCCAAGGTGTTTCCCATATTGATTGTATTAACATCATTCCCACAGTGTATGTTAGGGTATCCTTTTCTGCACAAACTGTCATGCTTTGTTATCAATACTAGTATTGATAGAGAGAGATCCTGCATCTGCTTATCCTGTCCCTGGTGGCCACAATGACCGGGAGTGGGCCAGGCCAGTCAAGAGTCATGAGCATCATCCGGAAATTCCATGTGGGTGGCAGGGGTCCAAATTTTCAGGCCATCCTCACTGCTATTCCTAGGCCATTAGCAGGAAGCTAGATTGGAAGTAAAGCAGTCAGGACATGAACCAGCATCCATATGGGATACTAGCATTGCAAGCAGCAGCTTTATGTGCTATGTCATAATGCAGGCCCCAGTGCTAATCACTTCATGTAATAGAAAAATATCTCAATGAAAGATGAAAGAAAACAAGAAATTTGAAAAGTGCATTCATTCAGCACAACGTCCCCTGTTTAATTCCCTGCAGCTTTGGTGCACTTTCCTTCGACCAGAGATGGTCAGACCAGCCTTGGAAAAGTCACTGCAAAAACTTCAACTGGACTATGTTGATCTCTATATTATTCATTTCCCAGCAGCTCTGAAGGTAGGCAGTGACCATCATTAAATTTATTTCACTTTAGCTGTGAGCATAATCATCATTTACATGGGTGACTAAATCATACTAATAAATTTATTAATCAATCTAAGTTATATAAACTGCTTACTAGTTTAATCAATAGATTTTATTTGATTGGGGACTTTAAACCATGAGTAGATGTATATAAATATATAGTTTAAAGATTCATTTTATTTATTTGAAAGACAGAGTTACAGAGAGAGGTAGAGACACAGAGAGAAGTCTCTCATCCGCTGGTTCACTTCCCAGATGGCCTCAATGGCCGGAGCTGCGCCTATCCGAGGCCAGGAGCCAGGAGCTTCTTCTGGTTCTCCCACACGGTTGCAGGGGCCCAAGGCTTGGGCATCTTCTACCGCTATCCAAGGCCACAGCAGAGAGCTGGATCAGAAGAAGAGCAGCACAGCCGGAACTAGAACCGGCACCCATATGAGATGCTGGTGCTGCAGGCCAGGGTTTTAATCCACTGTGCCACAGCACTGGCCCCTAGATGTATATATTTAAAGTCACCTTGGCAAATATCTATTTTTATATCAGTAATCTTTCACTGTACTACTCTAGGTTTATTTAATTTTTGTTGGAGCTTTTTCATTGTTGGCATATATAGCTGTTGGGCATTTCAAATCTCATAGCGTTTAACACTTGATAACTGCTCCTAATCTTCTAGTACTGAAATATTTTTGGACAGAACCTTGATCCATCTTCTGCAGTCCAAGTGACTGCTGTGTGATCCACATGTTTTCAGCAAGATGCGGACAAAATCCATTATTGGTGGAGATCAAGGCCATGAAACTCTTGATTTTCACAGTGAAAGAGTCATTTTACTGTGAGGAGGGTGGAGGAGGGGGCAGAAGAATACAAAGTAGCATAAATTCATGTGATTCCTTAATGCACATAACTGATTGGGAAGAGAGGAAGTCGGTAGCTTAACACTACTTTTTACCACTTCTTATGTAATGTCCATGGCAATTATAAGTATATGGAATTTTGCTCCACATATTTCATGAAGTTTAGTGTTCAAACGCTATAGGGTGGATATCTGAATAAGGTGAAACATATGAAAAATGATTGCTTGTATTCTAGCCTGGGGAGGACATTATTCCAACAGATGAAAACGGAAAATTAATATTTGACAAAGTGGATCTCCGTGCCACTTGGGAGGTGAGTACTTGGAAGAGTGAATAGAAAGGAAGAATCAAGAGGGAACATTACATAAAAATTCAACTTAAAAGTATGGGATATGCATTACTGGATGTAAAACTCCATGCTCTTTGTAGTGGTTAATGTACTTCAATGGTTAGGGAGGAAGACAACAGTGGAATGTCACAGAAAGAAACAGAGAGAATTAGGGCAATGAGGGCAGAAACATCTTCCCATTTATGTTCAATAATTTTTCTGATTTTCAAAAAACACAAGAATTCATTTTCTCATTGTAACTGTCTTTACCTATTTACTTTAATGGATTTTCTCTTGTGGTCAGTCAGAGCCCATTGGCTTCAATATAATCTCTTGAAAATGTGTCTTTTAACTGTGTTAAAAGCCTGTATATAAAATAAAATAATATAATGTCCACTATATTACACCCTATATTATATATAATTTAATAATTTATATTATATTAATATTATATATAATTTCAATAATAATATAACAATATTAATAAACCTTATTCTAGCCATCATGGAAATATTTCTTCACAATCTTTCCTCCCAGGCCATGGAAAAGTGCAAGGATGCAGGACTGACCAAGTCCATCGGGGTGTCCAACTTCAACCGCAGGCAGTTGGAGATGATTCTCAAGAAGCCAGGGCTGAAGTACAAACCCGTCTGCAACCAGGTGAGGAATCAGCCTCCTCTCCTTCTGTTCTGCATTCCTTCCTTCTCTTGCTACTCCCAAGTGTTCATTTTTTCTCTACTCTCCTTCAACGTACTGTGTGGGATAGAAGATTCACATGCAGAGACTCTGTATGGAAAGCAGAGAGTACTCTCCAGTGTCTGTATATTTGTTAATGTCTTAGTGAAAACGTGAGCAGACTTTAGTGCTGAAATCTGTGTAAGAATCTGGGAGGTAAAGATGATCTAGAAAGGCAGCAGTCAAGAACCAAACCTCAGTGGGAAGGTGGATTTTTCCCAGATCGATGAAGGATCCATTGAAAGATTGCCTGGTGTCTTGATTGCTGAAGGTGATGTGTAAAGTACTGTATATAGGAAAGTAAGCCTTGAAGACATCTGGGGGGAAGTAAATAAATACAGAGTGAAAGTAGAAGATACATGATAAAGGTTTCTGCAGTGTTGAGAGAATCTTTCCCTTTGTTATCTCTGCATTCTTGCACAGAGACTTACACATAACAAAATTTAATTGGAGAAAATGAGAATAATCTGGAAAAGTGGGAAGCAGTTACCTACTTATGGTGACAGTGTGGTGGCCAACATCAACACTCACAGAATTTTAAAAAACTTAAGTTGGTCATGTCTCTGAGCCCATTTTAGTCTGCCTCTCCTACCTGCTATTGGCCATTAAATCAACTATTTAAGCACATCTATTCTGTGCCTGGTTTCATTATGTAACTTAGTATCTAACAGTTTCACCCACCCAGTCATGGTCTTGACTGGAGATATGGTTTAGAAAAATCTAGAACTTGTTCATTTAATGACCAGGGGCTCTGATCTTCAAATAAAAAGATTACAAAATTACTTTGGCTTTCAATATTGATTTTACTCCAATTTTTTATTATTAGAGCAACTTTCAAACAACCAGACAACTTGAAGGAAAAATGCAGATCTTCCAAAGTTTCACAACTATAACCAAAAATGTTTACTGATTTTCATGTGTCAAAAGTTAGTAGGCATACATGAGTATGTCTTCATATATCTGTGCAATATTTGGCCAAACCTCATGGTGCTTGTGGGAAACATGACTATCCATCACTACAGACCTCAGAAACAACTCTTGTTAAGATACTGTCCCACTTAGTTATAGTTTCATTATTGGATCTAAAGTAGTTAACAATTATTCTGTCATGTAATTTAACATCTGAACATATCATGATTTTTTAATTTTTGCCTCCAAATATCTTCCATTTTAAGTACAGCAAAATAGTAGTTCATACAGAGAATTATGCTGTGTTTCTCATTTTTTTTTTATTTTCCTAGAATAGTCAGCAATCTTTTTTTTTCTTGGATGCTCTGACAGATTTTGTCAGGTGTCTGGATTTGTCAGGTTGTTATTGTTTAATAATAGGTCATTTGTTTCTCTACGTCAACTCTATAAATTATAAATAAGATTTTAATGTTTTCTGATGTTAAGGTTGAAGATTTTTTTAAATGTGCTTAATTTTTCTTGACAGGCAGAGTTAGACAGTGAGAGAGAGAGAGAGACAGAGAGAAAGGTCTTCCTTCCATTGGTTCACTCCCCAAATGGCCGCTATATCCGGCACGCTGCGGCTGGCTCACCGCGCTGATCCAAAGCCAGGAGCAAGGTGCCTCAACCTGGTCTCCCATGCAGGTGCAGGGCCCAAGCACTTGGGCCATTGTCCACTGCCTTCTCGGGCCACAGCAGAGAGCTGGATATGAAGAAGAGCAACTGGGACAGAATCCGGTGCCCTGACCGGGACTAGAACCCGGGGTGCTGGCTCTGCAGACAGAGGATTAGCCTAGTGAGCCGCAGCACCGGCCGCTTGAATTTTTTTTAAAGATTTTTTTTTGAAAATGTGCTTAGAATGGTGTATTCATCATATTGTATCCCAAGAAGCAGCACAGATTTGCAGGTGTTCTCATGTTTAGTGATGTATATTTTGATCACTTCATTAAATTTTCAGAGACAGATGTCATTTGTGTGAACATATATTTCACCTACAGCAATTACTAGTAATCTGTTAAATGTCACTGTTCAAAAAATGTGGTATTAGTAAATTTTTATATGGATGGCATTTTGTCTTTAGAGTTTGTAAATAATTACTTGCATTTTGACTAGATTTTTGCTTTTCATACTTGATGTTTGCACTTTAAGTGCCTGTAAACTATAATTTGTCCTTAAAGACAGCATTAACTTTCTTAGTTTCCCTTTGATTAGAAAGAAGTTACTATAATAACCACCATTAGCAGGGACAGATATTTTTATTCTCTCTCTTTTTCTGTCTTTCTTTTTTCATATATTCAGAAATACAAAATCATTAGATTTTTATTTACTCTATGTGCTATAATTGGTTTTGTTAATTATCCCTTGGGATGTTGAAATCCACCCACAGTGGAATCAGTGAGATTCCTAGCATACTAACTTTTTAAAGCACTGGAGTGTCACTAATGAGTCTTTTTTTTTTTAAAGATTTATTTATTTATTTGAAAGGCAGAGTTACAGAGGCAGGGAGAGACAGAGAGAGAAGCCTCCCATCCACTGGTTCACTTCCCAAATGGCAGAAACAGCTGGAGCTGGGCCGTTCTGGAGCCTGGAGCCAAGGCCTATTCTGGGTCTCCCACATGGGTGCAGGGGCCCAAGCACTTAGGTCATATTCCATTGCCTTTCCAGGGCATTAGCAGAGAGCTGGATGAGAAGACAAGCAGCTGGGACACAAACCGCTGTCCATATGGGATGCCCTCACTGCATATGGAGGCTTAGCCTACTACATCACAGTGCTGCCCCCTAATGAGTCTTTGAATTTATTTTTTTTACTTTCAGGCAGGCACATTCAATGTCTAAGGCTCAAAGCATATTTTCCTTGTTCCAGATGTGGTGTTTTTCACCTATCTTTAACAAAGAAAAAATTATTGGGCAAACAAGATCTCTGGAATGTCATATTTTTTAACTTCCCAAGACACAAAAAATTAAATTTATTGCTTTTAAAAGTCTTTACTTGAGGGCCAGCGCTGTGGCTCAATAGGCTAATCCTCTGCCTTGTGGCGCCGGCACACCAGGTTCTAGTCCCGGTCAGGGCGCCGGATTCTGTCCTGGTTGCCCCTCTTCCAGGCCAGCTCTCTGCTATAGCCCGGGAGTGCAGTGGAGGATGGGCCAGGTGCCTGGTCCCTGCACCCACATGGGAGACCAGGAGAAGCACCTGGCTCTTGGCTTCAGATCAGCGCGGTGTGCCGGCTGTAGCACGCTGGCCGCGGCGGCCATTGGAAGGTGAACCAATGGCAAAAGGAAGACCTTTCTCTCTCTCTTTCTCTCTCTGTCCACTCTGCCTGTCAAAAAAAAAAAAAAAAGTCTTTACTTTTGTGCTGAGATTACAGTACAGTACATTAAGCAGGTGATTGCGATGTGGGTACCCGATATTAGAGCACCAGTTCCATTCCAACTCTGCAATAACACACCAGGGAACGCAGAGGATGATGGCTCAAATACTTGGGCCCCTGCCACCCACCCGGGGAGAGGGCGGACCTAGATGGAGCTTTACGCTCAGGCTGAAGTCTGTCCCAGCACTCACCATTTGAGTCATTAGGGGAGTGAACCAGCAGATGGAAGATACCTGCCCCTCTCTGTTGTGTGTGTGTATTCACTTCTCACTCCTGCATTCTCTTAAAATCAATCAATCAATAATTGATACAAAGTAAGAGATCCTTAATTGATAAGGGTGTTTTCTTTTTAACTCTCATATTTCATTTTTAAATTCAGCAACTTTTAAAGTATCCATTTATATTAATATTTGCATGTCACATATGCTGAAAATGTGTTGTCTTGTCTCTCTGCAGGTGGAATGCCATCCTTATCTCAACCAGAACAAACTGTTGGAATACTGCAAGTCCAAAGACATTGTTCTGGTTGCTTATAGTGCTCTGGGATCACATCGAGAATCAAGATGGTAAAAGTAAAACTAAAGCCCACCAAACACTTTTTTGAGGAAATATTTTTGGTTGGAAACTACTCAGTTTTATAGTCAAGTGGCTCAGGAGGAGGGGAGAACGTGCAGATGATATTAATGCTGCTGGACTAAGGAGCACATCTGAGAAGCACTGGTCTAGAGTGTGTCCCTTAGTCAGTTTTGGAAGCCTCCCAAGAACTGCATACTCAGTCTTAGGAGTTCATTTTTCTGCCTTTCCTTCCAGGGTGGACAAGAGCACCCCAGCTGTCTTGGAAGATCCAGTCATCTGTGCCCTGGCAAAAAAGCACAAGCGAAGTCCAGCCCTGATTGCCCTTCGCTACCAGCTGCAGCGTGGGGTTGTGGTCCTGGCCAAGAGTTTCACTGAGAAGCGAATCAAAGAAAATTTTCAGGTGATGAGCATGTGGGGCTGGAGGCATCTAGGACCCACATATGTGCTCCTTTGCAAGATGTCAAGCCACTCAGGGGTCAGGGGTCACATATTTTTTTTTCTGTCTTTGCTCATGCATTTAAGATTTGTCTCCATCACTGAGGCATAATAGCTAGACAGAATTACGACTCAACAGGAAACAGAGAATCGTGTTTCAGCATTAAATTGCCAATATAATCTGTAGCCTTCTGCAAGTGACAACCTTTGTTCTTTTCCTGCAATAAGGGAGTTAGATTAGGTGATTTTTGATAATAAACTATTATCACTGCATTTTTTGCTGCTGAGAAAATTCATGTATTTCAACACTCAAATTTTTTAGCCATTGATTTTCATAACTTTTTAAAGCACGTATTCAAATCTTTGCCATTTAAGTAGATTGACTGTGTCTGTATTCTGAGAGATCTTTACTAATCATTAGATTTTGTAGCTGTGAAACAAAGCACCTTCCAGACAGATTATATGAAAAGAAGTTGATAAAAATAGGTTTACTTATGCCGGCGCCGTGGCTCACTAGGCTAATCCTCCACCTTGCAGCGCCGGCACACCGGGTTCTAGTCCTGGTTGGGGCGCCGGATTCTGTCCCGGTTGCCCCACTTCCAGGTCAGCTCTCTGCTGTGGCCAGGGAGTGCAGTGGAGGATGGCCCAAGTACTTGGGCCCTGCACCCCATGGGAGACCAGGAGAACTACCTGGCTCCTGCCATCGGGTCAGCGCAGTGCGCTGCCCGCAGCACGCCGGCCGTGGCGGCCATTGTAGGGTGAACCAATGGCAAAAGGAAGACCTTTCTCTCTGTCTCTCTCTCTCTCAATGTCCACTTTGCCTGTCAAAAAATAAAAAAAAGAAGTTTTAAAAAAATAGGTTTACTTATGTATTTGAAAATCCGAGTTACAGAGACAGAAGCATGGACAGAAAGAGAGAAAGAAACAGGGAGAGAGAGATAGATATAGAGAGCAAGAGAGAGAGAGAGAAAGAGAGAGAGAGATCTTCCATCTGCTGATTCACTCCCCAAATGGCAGCCGGAACCAGGCCTGCACCAGGCTGAAGTCAGGAGCCAGGAGTGTCTTCTGGGTCTCCCACATGAGTGCAGGGATCCAGGGACTTGGGCCATCCTCCACTGCTTTCCCAGGCCATCAGCAGAGATGCTGGAATGGAACTGGAACAGCTGGGAATCAAACTGACACCCATATGTGATGCCGGCAAGTCAGACAAAAGTTTATACCACTAAGCCACAGCATTGGCCCTGAAAAGAACTTCATATCTCATCATTATGTGGTTTGAAAATTAGTCTAAGCTCAGACTCAACTCATCTAAGTTGGGTTCTGTGTTGGCTCTCCCAGGTACTTGCAATCAACTCCCTCACACAGTTGTAAACTCTCTTCCAGGATTTGCTGAATATAGTCTGGGGTGGCTCAGTCCTGCTATAGGCACTTTTTCATTCTCCAGCCAACCATGTAAAGGGAATAAGTTTATACCTGCAAAGCCTTCTCAGAACTGGCAAGCTATCGCTTCTGGCGAGTTCTGCTGACCACTGAACAGGCCAGGCCACACTGAAATGGTAGAGTACTGGATATTGGATCCAAAGGGCATGGTGCCTAGCACAGTGAAGATTTGCAGGATATTTCTCTAACTCATCTACCACATTTATGTATTCTGGACACTATTTTTAGGTTGTGATACATTTGTTGAAGTATGTTCTCACAGTTTATACCAGTGTTTTGGTTCTCTTCTTGGTGTATTTTCATGATCAAAAGTTCCTACTCTTCACATCCTTAAATCTTCTGCATTTGTTTGTGGCTGATATGTGTTATAACTTTTTCTATATTGAGCACATGACAATACTCTACTACACTTCTTTGAAAGTTCCTTCTAAATTTGGACTTTAATTCAACTGGCATATTTTTCAATGCTATGTGAAACATCTTTAAATAGCCACAAAGATACATTTATAGGTTTAAAAATGAAATCACAGAGAAGATTTGGGGACACTGCTAAGGATGTCTGCAGCCCATATTGCAGTGCCTGGGTTTGAACCTCATTGTGCTGTAGATCTAGTTTCTTGCTAATGCACACCCAGAGAAGCAACAATCTATGTCTTTCTGTCTCTGAATTTCTCTCTGTCACTCTATAATATCCAACTTTGACACATCAAAGTCTGTCTGCCCCACATACACAAAGTACATTTCTGCCTTCATTCTTCCTTTCAATGGATTCATTTTCTTTTCTGTAGTGTCTTCATTGCATTCGAAAATGAAGAGCTGCATTCCAGAATGCTAAAAATTTTTCTAAATCCTCATATTTAAACAGGTCTTGGCTATTCTTTACAGAAATGTCTGGAATATAGAAGTTTATGGTTTTAAAATAACTTTTCAACTTACACATAGATTAAGTCTTTAAGTAGTTTCTTGATATTGTAATGAAACTATCCATTACTCTTGAGAAGCTTTTTTAATACTTTTTTATTTTATTAAATTGTCAAATTTTCCTTTCTTTGTGATTTCTTTCTTTATTCCTATCTTCTTTTACTCCCTCCATCCCTCCTTCCTTCCTTCTTCCCTTCCTCTCTACCTCCCTTCCTTCCTCCCTCCTTCCTACCTTTTTTTCTTCTTGTTAAAATGGGGAAGGGAGAGTAGAGGGGAAAGCGGAGAGAGAGATACAGAGAGAGTGCGGGGCTGAAGTGAGAGAGAAAGAGGTATTTTCCAGCCACTGCTTTATTCCCAAAGACCCACAACAACCAGAAGAAGGCAAGGCCACAGTCTGAGTCCAGAACTCAAATCAGGGTCTGTTATGTGGGTGGCAAGGTCTCAAGTACTCAAGCCATCACCTGATACCACCCAGGGTGCACAGTGACAGGAAGCAGGAGTCTGAAGTGGAGCCAGGACAGGAGTCCATTCTGATTGGAGACATAGATGTCTCAAGTGGCTTCTAAACTCCATAACGAAATGTCTGCCCTGAGTAGTAAATTTGCAACAATGTTTAGGTTTCCTATGCACACATTTCTAATTATTTATGTGTTCTTTTAATAATCAATAACACATTTTATACCTTTTTTAGTAAGGCATTTGTATATATTGTTAGGCTGATACAGAGAACCTGGTAATTTTGGTAGTGCACTTTTTTACTTCCTCTTTTGACAGTTTTTAAATGTACAGAAAATTTCAGAACATAAGGCAGTAAAAAGCTGTTCATTGATTCATCAACTATGAAATTATAGACTTTGAAAAATTATTTCTTCTTCTTATTTTTGAGTATTGCTATGGATCTATGAATAGTTCATATGTTCCAAACAGTAATTATTTTTTTTTGCAATTTAAAATTCCTAATAATAGAGTGTGGGATCCATTTTAAGCAAGTTCCTGTGTCCTTTTACATAATGTCATTATGTTTGGACAATTGCTGTCCTAAATTATTTTGGAAAAAAAAGCCTTTCTGTCATGTTAACTCTTTATTATTGGGATATAAAAATCAACTGTATCAAGAAACTTTCTAAATTGTCTTACGCATTTTCGATTCTTCTGAATCATTTGTGCACATGATCCTATGGTATTTAAATAATTTCAGCTTTGCTTGTTCTTTGATACCTCCTTTTATCTGTAGTGTCATGCAGCTTCAATATATCTTATCTAGTAATGCATTTCTATAATTTTCACTTACTGTTTTTTGATGGTCCGAGTCCCTTATTATATACGTCAAAATGGTTAGAAACTTTCCAGACTGACAAATAAGCACTATTAACATAATAAAAATTTTCTAATATTTTAATAGGTTTTTGAATTCCAGTTGTCTTCAGAGGACATGAATGCACTGGATGGCCTCAACCAAAATATCCGGTATTTTGCGGCTGATTTGTAAGTAACATTGCTAAATGCATTGTCTCCATTTGTTTTCTGAGGAAGAATGAAGGATGGATATTAGCCACTACTCTCCATATATCTATGGACATGAAATGTGGGTTCACTAACATTGCCTAATTAAATATTTGAAAAATGATATTTTCTTCCTCTTCTTCCAAACTTGCTCAATTCTTATCAGAATTGGATCGTTTCCAATAATGCTGTGGTCTAAGGTAGAAGTTCTGTTTCTAATCAGTATTTTTTATTTCATAATCATTTATATCATAATCCACTAGGATAAACTGCCTCCAAGATTTTATAGACATAATGGAGTAAATAATTATAGGAATAGAATCTGGAAACTATCCACTTCCACTGAATTTATTAATGTGCAAATTGAGTCCTCATTTTTATAATGATTGATGTATGTTTGCAATGTTTTCTGTTCAAAATAGTCTTAAAAGCTTGAGAGTTTGGAGAACTGTAGCTTGAAATATTCAACATGTGAATTGCCTTTTATTTATATTAATATATTTATTAGATATCACTCTCTTCCTGAAAATTGTTCACTTAAGTACATATAAATTACATAACCATAAAAATTAAATGTACATTTTAAAACAAATAAACCAGTAATAATTTTAAGGTCTTGAAAGTTTACTAAGAGGAATATTTTCTGGGAAACAAAACAGATGAGTATTATCACAATACAGTAAAACTTATTTTCTTGATGAATTTAGTACATCAGTGCTAATGGAATCATATGGAAAAAAATACACTAATACTCAAATGACTTTGGATTATGCCAAGTAAAATGCCAAATTGTCTTTAAGTATCAGTGATATTCATATTAAGTATAACTCCTGGAGTAGACCAAAATACATCATTTTTGGGCTGAGACAATACTTTACTTCCTAAAGTAGCTTCTTAGGATTTAGAATTCTCCTGGTAACAATCCTGGTCTGTAAGCATAAGTATCTAACTAATATAAGTTACTCACCTTGATTCTAGTGCTAGTGACACAAAATCACTTCTTTAGTCTTCTAGCAATCTGGTCATTGAGTTTGAATTGTGCACATTTCTTGTTTTAGCACTTCTGAACACCCAGAGTTCCCATTTTCTGATGAATATTAACACAGAGGCCTTTCCCATGTTTCAACCACGAGCTCCTGTAAGTGGATCATGATGCCAGAGACATCTCAGACGCTGGTGACTGGGCGCCTCTCTTCTTGTTAATCTTTGCTGCTTAGCAGCCTACACTCAGCTAGAGCTACATCCATCATGTCAGTGAAATGTTGTCAATTAATGAAAAATAAAATGTTGACTTATTAAAGATTATTATTTCTTGCTGACTTTATTACTTGTTTGCCTTCTGTATTTCTGACTCCTGAGTCCCTCTAACTTATTTGAGTGGGAATGTGGATGTTTGTGGTGAGAGAGGAGAGCAACCAGTCCATAGATGTGTCTGGGAATGCGGTGGGGAAAGTTGTCAGTCAGTAGAGCACTTGGCAGACGTTTCTGTCATCTTTCCCCAGTGCTTCCCTGTACAGAGCCCAGAAGGAGAGGCAATACTGAAGGACAATCAATAGTCGAGAGGCTCTCTTCCAGCAGCTTACAGATCAGATCTGCAGCTACTCGGGTATTTTGTTATCCTCAAGGAGGGGTTTAGTTGTAGGGATGGAAGATTGAGAGGATTCAGCCAGAAAGAGTGATGAGGTGTCACACATGAGGGAGACTGAGGAAAAGTTCAGCACATCATGCTTGAGAATATTGGCCACAGTCTTTTGATAATAAACTGAGGATAAAAGGTAACCTTCCACACATTTTATCAGAGACAGACTGAGGCTCAAGAATTCACTTTTAAGTGTTTCCTGGGAGAAATACTGAAATTCCTAGGCCTGAGGTATGACAGAAAATCAAAGAAACAATCTAACAATAAGATACCCCTGCCTATCAGCTCCGTATTTATCAAATATTTTTGGGATTTAAAATAAGTTTGACTTAATTACATTTGAATGTCTTAAATTACATTAACATGAAATTTTATAGATAAGAATATAAAACACAAAATATCTCACAGTCATGAAATATTAGTGTTAAGTAATATTAAAATGCTAAATTCTGTAAAGTTTCTGAAGCTTATCCAAAATTTCAAACATTTTTGGAAAGATTATATGTAGTACAGCATAGTGCTTTAAAATGTGTTCATTTTGGGGCCGACACTGTGGCGTTAGTGGGTTAAGCCATCACCCGCGGGGCTGTCCTCACATATGGGTGCCACTTTAAGTCCAGCTGCTCTATTTCTGATCCAGCTCCTGGCTAGTGTGCCTGAGAGGGCAATGGAGGATGACCCAGGTGCTTTGGGCCCTGATCCCACGTGGGAGACCCAGAGGAAGGTTCTGGCTCCTGGCCATTGCAACCATTTGGGAAAAGAACCAGTGGATGGAAGATCTCTTTCTGTCTCTTCCTCTCTCCCTCTCTCTCTTTGACTCTGCCTTTCGAATATATAAAATAAATATTTCTTAAAAAGTGTTCATTCTTTGAAACATCTTTTATAAGGTGTAGAATTATTTTGAGAAGCTTTTAGTGACACAAATATAATCAGAATGTCATATAGAAAACACAAACTCAAAATAAAGAATGTTTTCAAAAGTTGAGACAATGTCATGGGCTGCTGGCCCAGGTACTCAGAGACTGACGATTGTTCATGACCTGGATACACTTTCAAAAGATTAAATCTCCCACTATTTTTATTCTTGTGGTTACTTTTGTCCTGTCAAATAGGGTGTCCAATGCCAATGTTCTTTAGCCAGGACCTATGCTAACAAAAGTGCAACTCATAGCCTTTGTAATACAAGAGGTTTGGAGGCTTTGGGTAAGATATTATATTAAGAATAGGCATGTTGGAGACTGGCTTTGTGGCATAGCAAGCTAAGCCACCATCTGTGATGCCGGCATCCTATTTGGGCACTTGTTTGAGTTCCAGCAGTTTTCCACTTCCTATTCAGCTCCCTGCTAATGTGCATGGGAAAAGAGCAGAAGATGGCCAAGTGCTTGGGCCTTCATCCACATAGGAAACCGGATTAGCCCCTGCCTCCTGGTCCATGGCTTCTGCCTGGCCCATATATGGCTGTTGTTGCCCTCTAGAGAGTGAACCAGTGGATTTCTCTCTGTTTCTCTCTCTGTGTGTAAGTCTGCCTTTCAAATAAATAAATCAATCTTTAAAAAAAAAAATAAGTTCAGGGCCTGGCGCTGTGGCACACTGGATTAATCCTCTGCCTGTGGCACCGGCATCTCATATGGGCACCAATTCTAGTCCCGGTTACTCCTCTTCCAGTCCAGCTCTCTGCTGCAGCCTGGGAAAGCAGTAGAAAATGGCCCAAGTGCTTGGGCCCCTGAACCCGCATGGGAGAACGGGGAGGAAGCACTTTGCTCCTGGCTTCGGATCAGCACAACTCCGGCCATTACGACCACTTGGGGAGTGAACCAAAAGGAGGAAGACCTTTCTCTGTCTCTCTCTCTCTCTCTCTCTCTCTCTCTCTCTCTTTCTCACTGTCTGTAACTCTGCCTGTAAAATAAATAAATAAAATCTTTAAAAAAATAAGTGCACAGAAACATATTTGTATTTTGGGGATAGCCTTATTTCACTAAGTATAATGGTTTCCAGTTGCATACATTTTGTTGCAAAAGGCAGAATTTCATTGCTTTTTTATAGATGAGTAGTATTCCATAGTAACTAATAGAGTACAAAAAATGTAATGTATATATGAATGAAATTGACATTTTGAGGTTTGAATATTGTGTACAGCCCTGTCTCTACTGTTGAGGACAGTGTTGAATTGAACAATGCTGAATTCTTTACTTATTGGAGCCTTAAATATTATTATAAATTAAACTGAAAGTATGTAACTGTAAAAATTAAAAGAATGAAAACAGACATTCTTTCTTTGTGTGGGTGTATGTCTTGAGAAGAAATTGAAGTAAGAACTAAGAACCTCTGTTGTCTTATCTTACTATGTCTGAATTCCCTGCCCTCAAAATCTTTGTTAAGTAAAGAAAAGAAGAAAAAAAAATAAAGGGACACTGGGTGTGGTCATCATAGTAATGTCAGATACTGATAATGGGAAAATCTGGATATAAGACATATAGGAACTTCTTATACTACTTCACAATTTCCTTTTGTAAATTTAAAACTTTTTTTGAAATTTTAAAAATGTGTTTTTTGAAAAGTTTTTAAAGTGATTGTTTCAATAAAATGTGAATCATATTTTAACTATTTCATAAAAACGAGTATTTAAAATAAATGCTAGTACCTAAAGCAAAAGCAACAATACTGAATCAGACAAATGGGACAGATCAAACTTAAAGCCTTGTATACATACAACAAGAGAGTCAATGGAATGAAAAGGCAGCCAGAATAATGGGAAAAAAAATTTACACATCATATACATTATAAGGGGTTAATATTCAGAATATATAAAAAGACTTCTATAACTCAACAAGAACAACAAAAACAATAGCCCATAAAAATGTAATTAAAAGCTGACTGAGGACTACATAGACATTTGCCAAAGCTGATATGCAAATGGCCAACAACTTACGCAGAAACACTCAACATGAAAACATCATTAATCACTTAAGAACTGGAAATCAAAATCTTGATAGAATATCATTTTAAACTCTTTATACTACTATAATGGCTACTATCCAAAATTCATAAAATAATAAGTTTCTGTGAAGATTTGAGGGAATTGAAACCCTTGTGCACTGTTTGTGATAATGAAAAATGGTATATTGCCATGGAAAGCAATAGATGGCTCATCCAAATTAAAACTACAATTGCCATATGATCTAGCAAATTTAGTTCTAAATTTATTTACAAATCCCTGAAAACAGCATCTACAATGAATATTTACTCACCAATGTTTATAATGCATTATTCATAACAGCCAAGAGGTAAAAACAATCTAAATGTTCATCTACAGATGGATGGATAAACAAAAAGTATTATATATGTACAATAAATTGTTATTCATACTAATAAAGGAAGAAAATTCTTGCAAATTGGGAACATTATACTAAGTAACTCATTCCTTAAAAGATAAATAGAGTGTGATGCCACTCATTAAAGTTATCTGAATCATTCAAACTCGTACTGAAATTAGAACCATGACTACCAAGGATGGTGAAAGGTGAAAATAGGAGATTAATAGATTTGTGTTCTGATTTGCATGATAAAACCATTTTAAATATATATTGTACAATAATGTGAATATATTTAATATTCCCAAGCTTCATACTAAAAGTGTCTAGTAAGGAAAATTTTATTGTGTGTACAGGATTCTATGCCTGGATTGTCTAAATATGATCAGAGTCAGTGAACTCAAGGGGCTTCCATAGCCAAGAGCCTAGGGTGATTACTGATGCCATAAACAAGAGTGTCAATTTGTTAAGTCAACAACAGGAGTCACTGTGCACTTACTCCTCATGTAGGATCCTTGGCCTTAGTGTGCTGTACATTGAGATTTAATGCTATAACTAGTACTCAAACAGTATTTTTCACTTTATGTTTTTGTGTGGGAGCAAACTGTTGAAATCTTTACTTAATGTATGCTAAACTGATCTTCTGTATATAAAGAGAATTGAAAATGAATCATGATGTGAATGGAAGGGGAGAGGGAGTGGGAAAGGGGAGGGTTGCGGGTGGGAGGGACGTTATCGGGGGGAAGCCATTGTAAACCATAAGCTGTACTTTGGAAATTTATATTCATTAAATAAAAGTTAAAAAAATTTAAAAAAAAATTTTCTGTATTTTTTTAGCTGCTGCAAATGGGATTATTTTCAAATAATTCATTATTAGTTTACAAATATGCTACTGACTTTTGTGTTTTGATTTTATTTTTGCAACTATACTGTATTTGTTTGTTATATACTGTTTATTAGAGTCTCTAGAGTTTTATACTTATAATATTATGTCATTTCTGGAGGTAATTTAACTTATTCCTTTCCAATTTGAATGCTTTTATTTCTTTCTTCTATTTGCTCTGAATATGGCTTCCAGTACTGTTTTGAATATAATTGGCAAGAATGGGCAAGCTTGTCTTTCTCTTGAACTTAGGGGAAACATTTTAATTTTTTCCATTAAATATGGTTGTGTTTTTTTTTTCAATTATAGTGTTGCTGTGGTGTAGTAGATTTTTTTCTTTACCTAATCCATTGTAAGTTTTTATTCAGAGAAGATGTTGGTGTTGATTTTTTCAAACGTGTTCTCTACATTTAGGTAGAAGACCATATCACTGTCTTCTTCCTGTTAGTGTGGCATATCACACATTTTTGTT